TAACATGAAATTAATGTTACTAAGTAACATGAAATTAATGTTACTAAATAACATAAAATTAATGTTACTATATAACATTCATCTTAACCAATCCTTTAATGGCATTTATATTATTATTTTTTATAATAACAAAAAATATAAAAAGGAATAACAAATTTATTTAGTTCAAAAACAAATTAATAAGTGTTTTATTTTACTTCATAACAATTAACATCAATATGACACAAAATTTAACTTATTGATAATTAACATTATTAATGTATAATTTATAATAATAACTTATTAAACTCAGATATCATAAAATAAAATAAAATTAATTACAGTAAACTTAATATTTAAAAAAATAAACTTTATGCATAAAAATCATACAATTATATAAGATATCTTTATACATCACAAAATAATAAAATGTATTGTATAATACATAAAATATATTTTCTTTAAATAAACTAAATATGTACCAACTAAATTCAAATTGACACAAAAAAAAAAAAATTAACAATTTTAACAAATACAAATCATAAATTAATCAAACATACAATATAATATTATAATTTAAAAAAAACTACTGTGGTATATCTAGATCATGACATAATGTGATAACTACAGCTTTATTCACCGATATTTTTATATAAAAACACTTGCATTTAAAATCAGATACTGGAATAAGATAAGGTGTACTTTGAGATTGAAGATCAATACTGTATGAGCCAATGTCTTTGGAAAAAAAATTTTGTAAATTAAAAAAAGATGAAAAACTACTACATTTTTTTACAAGAAATTTGATTTCATTGTTTGAAGTCAATAGAATTTGTTTAACAAACACCAAATCATTATTTTTTAACATTATGCAATTATTATTAATATAATTTATGTTTATTGTTGAAAAATTTTCTAAAACCACTTTTTCATAAGCTTTGTTATTTGATAAATTTTGAATTTTAAGTAATTCTTTAAAAAGTTTAGGATATTTTGTTTCAGAAATATTTTTAATTTGATTTAGTTTTTCATAAATTCTGTTAGAAATTTCTTGCAAAGGAAACCTTGAACATTTCATACATTTTTTAATATCTTGCAAATAATTTTCGTATTTAAAACAACTAAAAGATTCAAGTGGGCCATGCTTTAGAACAAAAAATGGTAAATGTATTAAATTATGAACATTGTAATTGACAAACTTTTTACCATACAGAACAGCATAATCTCTTACAAAAGCGTCTAATAACATTTTGGCTTTTGCATTCAAAGAAATACATGTTTCATGTGTAACGAGAATTCTTATTGCAATTACCAAATGTAAAAAATGTACATAAAATGTTTTTTTCAACTTTCCTTTTAAAACAACATGACCGTAATACAACAAAAAACATCTTAATTCTGTGGCTTTCCAAAAATAAAAATCATCAAGTAATCTAGGAAGTCTAGAAAATTCAGATGGTACATATATTTTTAAATTTAAAATATTATCATTTATGTCATTTTTTGCTTTATCCAATAATCGTACATCTTTTTTTCTTAAACGACAAAAAATGTTATACCTATGTAAAAATATATGAAAAAAATATTAACTACAAAACATAAGCATAATTACCTGTCTTACAGCTACAGGAGTAGAAAATTCACTACTTTGGAAATTCATTTCTTTCTGTAGAGACGACTGAGACGAGTAAATAATAAAAATACCAATTAACGAAAAAATATGTTAGAGAAAAACAATAGAATACGAACAATCTTAGAAAATAATAATTGAAATACTTACATGGATTATTATGACTTGTATATATTGTAATTATTCTGAACACACTCTTCGGCACTTGACGCAAAGACTAACAAATAAAATAAAGATTCACATTGCTAGCTATTATTTAGCGCGCCGGTCGTTTTGCGGGTTCGGCTTCCCCGAAATCCGAATTGGAAAATCCAGTGATAGTGTTTATAACAATGGGATATAGCTATTTAAAGATATTTGTAAGATTATAAATAAAGTAATAATATTATAATTGAAGAATGTATTGCCCGTATTACCGCGTAAACAAGATTATTTCAATGCAATAATAATTAAACATTGAATGAATATTAATTTGTAACATTGCATAAATGTGTATTTTTAACATTTCAGTAATGTTACTTGATGATATATTTGGTATTATTATTATGGAACAATTATAGGACATCGCATTATTGTTACTTGGTAACATTTCATTGTGATCGAAACTTAACATTGCAGCAACATTTTGTAACTTAGATTGCACAGTGGGTAACTAATATATAAAATATATAATATTATGATCCATATAAACATTACAATAAAACATAAATACGAGGTATATAAAAGGTATATCAAAAGGTAAATCGTATAAATGGTGTTTCAGGTGTTTGGTATTAAATAGTGTAAACATATCTGTTGATATGCTACATTTATTTGATTTATTTAAGTATATTGGGTATTAATGTATTATTTTAAGACTCAGAACAACATTGTGGATGCATGGGAAAAAATATACGCTTCAAAATTCAATTACCCAATTATTACTAAAAGAAAAAACGATTTACAAACAAATATTCAACTAACGTATAGAATAGGTTTAAAACAAATGTAGTTACTAGTTTTATAACGATTTTTAAAATTTATAACATAAATATTTATCGATTTTACAAAAGTGCAAGTTATATATATATATATTTTTATATTATATATAACTATTGAACTATATAAGCCGTATAGGATATTCTAAAATTTTATAATACAAATTATTGTTATAAAGTAAATAATATTTTTTAGGTAAATTATTTTTTTATTATTATTATTATTACATATAATATAATCAAAAAACTAATATAAATGATTTCCATATTATAACATAAATGTAGTATAATATTATAGACTTTATAATTTACAGCCAAAAAATACATAATAATAAACTTAATTGAGTACAGTTATATAGCTACAAGCTACAATACTCCATGTAACCTCAGTTTAACAGTTAATTTTTGGATATTATAATTAAACAATAAAAAGTATTAAATGTTAATGATTTTACAAGGTACTTATTTTATAAATAAAAATAAAACTAAAATAATCATATTATATTAAGATTATAAATAATAATCCTTAATATAAAATGTTAATTTTATAAAAATAATTAAAATAATAAACTGAAAAAAATGCAACTCAAGAGTATATGACAGATTCAAGATACAAAAATATAAGGAAGCTGTGAAAAAATATAACGATAAAAGTTCCAAAATTTTTAGAAAGGCAATTAAGAAATATACTGAGAAAAATCCCGACGTCAATATGAAGACTGTTGAGAAATACAATAAAAAAATCCAAAAGTTAACAGAGAAGCAGTAAAAGACGCAGCAAAGTAAATATACTGATGTAAACAAAGCTACTGTTTCCAGTCATGAAAAAAAAATTTCAAAACCAATCAGAATGCTATTTTAATATAAAATTAAAAAAGACCTCTGATTTCAGGGAAAACATACCAAATCTTAATATTATTACACTACTTTCAATTGGCTGCCCAATAGAAACAAATTTGTCATTACAGTAATCTGTTAGGCTGTCATGTTAATGTATAGGTATTGATAATACTAATATATACCTACATGAATAATTCGAATAATGGAATTTATATACTATTTTTAAAAATGTACTAGTTCTTAATTGAAATTTTGAAGAAAAAACATTTTAAACCACCTAATAAGTAATTTATACCTGGAAGTATTTACCTATAAGGCTACAAAAAGATTCACTATCTAATGTTTATGTCATTTAGGAATAATATATTATTATAGTTTTCCATGTGGAAATAGTTCATACTTGAACTAATTTCTATAATTAGATCTATCTAGTCAACTAAAGGAATAAGTGCTCTCGGTTATGTATAATTCCGGTTTATGACCTCTGAAGGGCAACGAACGTTTGGACAAAAAACAAATTTAACTGTATCTACAAATGCATGAATATACTTGTCAAGCATAAATGTTTATATTATTACATCATAATATTCATAATAATATGTAACAATATAAACATTATACTATTTTTCTATTCAATTATAAATGTTCATATTTATATCATTATATATCTAAATGAATGTATATTTCTATACTTATATAAAAATGTAGTTGTTTGATTCAATACAAATTTTAATACACTAATTATGTCTTTTTTATTATATAGTAATTATACCAAGCCATTAATAGTTAATGTTTATTTTATAGTTTAATGTATTTTATAATACTGTATAAATACTAAGTATATTTCTTGTTTGTTATTATTATTCTAAAGTATTTTTTAATCTTTCTTTAAAATAACTTAAATATTTATATAAGCAATGAGATTAACGGGACCATATTATACTGTAATCTACATAGGAAATATGAATTAACTTTAAGATAATATTGTCCGTGAACGAAAAAACTCTTAATATCATATAAGTATAAAACACGATGGTTGAGTGTGTCATATCCCGAATTTGACTTAGTTTTGTTTTAAATTATTTAAATAAAAATGCATGCTTTGGCATATTTTTCTATGTGATTTTAAATTATTTTTTTTTATACAAGTTAAGTTGGTTGTTAACAATAAAATATAACATGGTTAATTCATAAAAGTATATTTACATCATCGTAATTTACTCCAAGTTGTTAAAATTGATTACAGAATAGAATATTTTACAAGTATAATAATAAAATTTAAAACCCATAAATAAAATCCTATGAAATATTATACTTTGTAATTTTTGTAATAGATTATTTTACTCTAAGATATCGTAATTCAAAAATCATTTAAAATAAAAACGATTTTACGATTTTTACATGAATGAATTTTATGTAGGTATATTGTGCGTGGGAAAACAAATAATTTCACTGATATCCTCTTAAGAGGAAGCCACACTTACCTATTACTACTTACGACCTATCCGCAAAAGTTGCTTACTTGTTTGTCATACAAACGTTTGACGTATCATATTTATGTTTAGGAGTTCCAATTTTCTGTAATAAATAATACACCTTAATAATAAAGATAATAATTGAGTTAATATAGGTAGGTACCAAACTAAAGGTGAGAAAACATTATCTAAGCGACTATACTTTCTCTTCAGTATTTTTACAATATTTAAATTTTTAAGCAAGTTATGAGAATTTTCAAATTGTAATATTTAACATACTTATAAATTTTTTAAATATTAAAATAGTATCACAAAAATCCATTTGAAAGCATTTGATAATATGTATTATGGATTAGCCTAAAAGTTGTTTTAAATTTTTAACATTTATATATTAGATAATATAGGTTATATAGTAAGATTACTGGGTTTTAAATTTAACAGGTTATAATAATAATTTTTACATTATACCTCCAATTGTGTTACACATAAAGATTTAAATTACGATCACAATTAAATTATACAGGTATTTACAATAATAGGTAAATTTAAATGAGTTAATTTAAAACAGCATAGGGATAACTGTGTTGAAGTCTACATATTCTGTTAGGACGGACTTTCAACGCGAAGTGTTGTGGATCGTTTGCATTGTGTATAAATGACCGAAAAAACTTACCGAATACCGATAGATCTTATTGATGTAGTTTTTAATTGATAATTTTTTGAAGTATGTGTGCAATGCTAATGCATCATTTCAAACAGATCATCATGGAGAGTTTTAAATTAAGCGTAGGATTTTGAATTGTACGGAACATGTATTTTGTCTATGTGAGTTATATCACTTTTATCACTTGTAGCACGTAGAGAGAAGGGTTAATTGGGTTCGCAAAAATTTATCTACATCTTAAAAGCGGTAAATCAAGCCCCGGGTGTAAAACTGATGCAACAAAATTACGCCCAACTTACCTTTTTCCATTCAAAAAACGCATCACGATTGCATTCAACCAATTAGCACGATTGAGCCCTTTTAATCTGCACAAAATGGATGTGAAGTGTCTGTATTAGTTTTAAGAGTATCAGTGTATAAATATCACATAAGTTAAACAATTGAAATTTTGATTCTTCTAGTGATTTTGGAATTGTTGGCAATTTTGTTTTTTATGGAAATCGTACATATTTTTTTTCCAAAATCTAATGTTAGAAATCAAAATGAACAATTCTTGACGAATTATTTTTTTCGGCCTTATAAATAAGTCGTTTTCACATTTTCTTTTGATTTGGAAATTTACTATTTTTTGTCTTCTAATGATATTTTCCGAATATCATAATTGTGTTTATTAAGCATGCTAAGGACTTTCGTAACATTATTATCAATATATATATATACTTGAATGACACTTTTTGTTAGTAGGTACACCGATACCGAATACTGCCTATGTTTTTAAGTACTTTATATTTCTTATATTTATGACCATTTACTAATATAAATGGCTTACCTTTTTCAGTTTCAAACTTTTTTGATATAGGTAGATCCATTTTTTAACATAGTTAATGTTATTTTCACGGTAGTCAACAACCAACAGTCAATTGCAGCTCAAATATAAAATTCGATCACGACATTAAATTTATACTTTACAGCAGGGGTCAGCAACCCACGGCCCGCAAAGCAGTTTTTGATGGCCCGCACAAAGGTGGTTAATTTTTGTGTTTTACTTTTGTTCAATAACATTTTTCATATAATTTTGAATATTATATAATTCTTTTTCCTTTATAAATAAAATCTAATCTAACCGTTTCATAATAGCAATACAATTATAAGTATTATATCATAATATGTAATTTTTTTTTTTTAATGTGGCCCTTGATGAACAATTGAAAAAAAAATAGCCCGTTTGGTTAAAAAGGTTGCCGACCCCTGCTTTACAGATAAGATAAATTAACAATAAAATATTATCTCGATTACCTACTCGAGTGCACGTACTAAAATACTCGGTTATACATATTGAAAAACCAAGTCCAATTTTTAAATAGTGAATAGAATAATTATTAGAATATATGTATATGTATTATATATATAATATATATATATATATATAAGGGACACGTATAAATATTGGAGATAAAAAGCTAAACGAGCTCGATTGTGCTATAATTGGTTGGACGCAATCGTGTTGCGTTTTTTTGAATGGAAAAATGTAAGCCTGGCGTAATCGTGTTGTACCCGTAAAAAGGTAATGGGTACGTATTGGGTGTCCCGGTTACAAACTCTTTTACTTACCTACCTATCTGTTCGGGCTGGGAGTGAGTATACGTATAGCAGTACACCGCCCGCGGACTCCGATTAA